ACGCAGCGCAAGTTTGTTTTTAGAGGGTGCCACGCCCCCTCTAACGCCCACAATCGTTTATATACGATTTTAAAAATTTCAATATTTCGGAAAAGTAAAAATTTAGTTTTACGGTGTTTATCAATACCTAATGAAATGTAAAAGAAATTTTTTAAATCGGACCATTCGTTAAAAAGTTACGGCAGATCAAAGTTCTCCTTGGCACTCCCTTTAGCTGAGTAACGGGTATCTGATAGTCGGGGCACCCGACTACAGCGTTCTCTCTTGTTTTTTCTTACTATACTTATTTACTTTAACTTTACTTTTTCTTAGTAACCTTGACCCACCTTATCCTCACTAACCTTACCTTTCTCACCTTCATCCTTCCCTTACATTACTTTTACCCTAATCTATCTAATACCTCCTTAATCGCAACTTAACCCCGCACTAACCTTACCGTATTCCCACCTTAACTCCACCGTTCTGGTAGCCTGATTATATCATTTTGGTTAGCTAAGCGAATGCAGAGAAAAACTCTTACTCCTTTTTTCCGTTTATTTCGAAAAGATCTAACCCCCAAAAACCTAAAAAACATAACAGAGAATATATAGAAATAACACACAAATACCTATGAAAGGCTACGGCCAAAATGCTTTAAGCGAAAAACGGATCCGCTCGCAGGATCGGTAGGTAAACCAAAAAAGAAGTGCCCCAATGTCGGCTGGGAATCAATAAGTTAAATAATTCCAACTCTTTTGGGTGAAAACTGTAGGTGTAATTTTGGAGACGAGATTTTCCAACAATTTTCTTCGTGCGCCCCTCGTCTTTAACACAATTTAAAAGCAATTTTTTTTTAAATTTTTGCTAAATATTTGATTTAGAATTGCATCCTTTAGGTGATCCGTTATAAATCAACTATTTAATAGTAAAAACTTCCCCAACCCATAAAAAATAGAAAATGTGTGTTTTGTATGTATGATTTTTGTTGTAAGATTGCGGGGGTTGCGGGGAGTCGTTTTTTAAAGCCGCATTTGATTGGTTACAAATTTTATTTATTACACACAAAAAAAACTATGTAAATTTAACATAGAAAAATAGTATTTCACTATTTTCTGAATTTTTCATGTATTTTGTTGTTTTATTTTTTGGGTCATTGAATAGTATTTAACAATTAAAATAGTGGAAAACATATTTACGAAATTTGCATGTGTTTTGTTGGTTTATTCATTTGGCAAGTTAATAGTAACGTCTCAATTAATATCGTAGCAAAACTATTTTATTTGTTTGCGTGTATTTTGTTGTTTTATTTTTTTAGGGATATAATAGTAACACCACAATTAATATCGTAACACAACTATTTTTTTCCTTCATATATTTTGTTGTTTTAAAAATACGATTATAAATTGTATGTCAACTATTTTTCTGGACTTCTTTCTTTTTTTTTTTTGTTAAATGTCGATTTCAAGTCTATAGAGTTTCCTTTACAAAAATCATTCTTCTGTGGCCTAGTGGTTAGAGTGCTTGACTCCGATGGTTGCGGCCCCGGATCGATTCTCAGTGGAGGCAAAAAACCTGATTTGTAAGTTTAAGTATCTGTGAAATGTAAGTGTCTATAAATAACTTCCATATAAATTAATATAACAAATTAATTTAAAAATAAAAAAAGTTAAAAACATAATTAAAAATAATCGGTAGGTAATCAAAAAAAGAAGTGTCCCAATGTCTGCTGGCGATCAACAGCTGGAGTTAAATATTTCCGGAAATAAGGAAAATTAAAAAAGCACCTAAAGCTTTAAATCTTTTGGGTGAAAACAGTGGTTGTAGTTTTGGAGACGAAATTTCCCAACAATTTTCTTCGTGCGCCCCCCCTTGTCTTTAATACAATTTACGAACATTTTTTTTTTACATTTTTTCAAAATATTTGATATAGAATTGCATCCATTATTTTATACTTATTTGATCATTACATACTTATGTACATGCCAATTTATCCATGTGTGTGTGTGTCATTGCGTATCTCACAAGCAAATGTGACGATTGAAAGTTTTCCCCTGATCTACCTTTGAAAACCAATCCAAATGTTTTTTTAAATCAAAACAAAAATTCCTTGTCCTTTCTATGGGTTGGCTACACACTTTGACTTAGAATTGCATCCATTAGATAATCCGTTCTGGTATCCAAATAGTAAAATTTTGATCAGGAATTTTCAAACCAGAGAAAAAACATTGGCCGCCTCTCTTTTGCTTCAAATGACTCTCTCTCTGCTCACTGCTCTCTCGCTCTACTTCTGCTGAGGTATATAAAGTAAATACCTATAGTTTAATGCTCACTCGGTGCAGTTCCAGGGATTCCAAATTCAGCGTGCATATTTAAATTTTGTTTTAAAGTTGTCAAAAATCAAAACGCCTACTTCCTACAAAGTTACAATGAATTTTCTTATATTTGTTTGAATATTCCTATGGGAGCCTTAAGATAAAGTGGTTCGATTCGGCTCGCTCCGACATACATATGTACTACCTGCAATGGATAGAAGACTTTCGGGAAAGTTTTATCGCGATAGCTTTAAAACTGAGAGACTAGTTAGCATAGATAGACTCGGCTATTGGTGCTGATCACAAATATATATATACTTTATGTGGTCGGAAACGTCTCCTTCACTGCGTTGCAAGCATCTGACTGAAATTATAATACCCTCTGCAAGGGTATAACAATAACATATGTACTTTTTCCAGCCCAAAACATTTATGAAACGTTTTAAAAATGTCTGCTTTCATGGCAATACACATTATTCATTTTACAGATTATAATTAGAAAATCATTAAATAATGATTTAGCCAGTTAAAGTTATTTGAATTGTAAAGTTTAAATTTAAATTTAAAGTTTAAAGACCACGCCATCTTAGCAATACATGTATTAAATGTGTATGCATAGTATGTATTACATACGGCCCTTTCTAAAACTCGAATAAATGCTCTAATGAATGAGCCGAACAATGTCATAGAATAACCGCATAAAAGGGCCCCTCGCGTAACAAGCACGTGCTGGATGTCGTTGAGCCACTTGTTTGTACTGCTCGTAGTGCATCAATGTCCTATCTTGTATACAATATTCAACCTCGGACCTTCCGTCGCCCAGAGGCAGAAATGTTTTAACAGCTACCTATGCAGTGACACAGCATTTCTGGCGACAAGTGCTCTGCGAAGAGGGGCGACAGATATGGTGCAGGACATGCTAAATGAGTTTGAGGCCTGGGCGTCGAGGTGGAACATCGCAGTTAATCCTGCCAAATCTCAGCAAGCAACCTTTTCATTGAACAGGCTGAACACTTATCGCCTAACCTTAGACGGGACTCCAATAAAGCACTCGGACATGGTTAAGTACCTTGGACTTAATGTGGATAGGCGGCTTACCTGGAGGCAGCACATTGTGGCAACCTTTGCTTCAGTAAGGCAAAAAGCGGGAAAAATGAGATGGCTTCTACGGCGGGGCAGTGGATTGTCGATCACGGCAAAAACCCGGCTCTTTAAAGCAACCTTGATGCCTAGTCTAGATTGGGGTATACACTTCTGGGGCACTGCCTGTAACACTTGTATAAAAAGAATTGAATCCTACCAATCCAAAATGTTAAGACATATACTAAACGCCCTATACTATACAAGAAACACTACTATTTTCGAGATCTCAAAATTAATCCTGTTTGTAAATCTATCACCAATACTGCCATTCGCTACAGATCAAGACTCGTCTCCCACACAAGCAGACTTGCTTTCACACTTTCCAGACCTATGAACAGGAGAAGACTAAAGAGATTGCACTCGTCAGACAATTGGATACTTGGACGGCACGCTTGTGGGAAACTCATTCAAGTCTTAGACGCATAGACTGCAACACTGCTAAATTTTTGTAATGACTCTTTTTTTATTCACTACTTTTGTTATTTTTACCATGGGTGAAAGTGAATTGAGTTTCACATAACACCCTCCAATAAACATTTTGTTGAGCATATCGAAAAAAAAGAAAAAAAAAAGGGTACCAATATAATATTGTATTCGTGCAAAAGTTTGGAACAGGTAGGAAGAAGAGTTTCCGAAACTATAAAGTTTATATATTCTTGATCAGGATAACTAGCCGAGTCGATCTAGCAGTGTCCGTCTGTCCGTCCGTATGAACGATGAGATCTCGGAAACTCTAAAACCTAGATAGTTGCTATTAATATTGAAGATTCTTGGGATTCCTACGCAGCGCAAGTTTGTTTCATCGAGGTCCCACGCACACACACACACACACACACATCATCATCAGCAAACAGTTCCATATGGGCAATTCTCTGGGGATGTTAACCAAGCCAAAAATCTTGAAAGTTGATAAAAACATATTTCTATATGATTTCGCATTGATATTTGATTTCAGTTAGATGGATTCTCAACTAAGCTAAGTAATTTGAGTATCCTTGGATAATTTTCCACGACAATACTTGTTATATGGACAAAAAAAAGTCATTTTTTGGTATTTTTAAAGTGGCTCTCAAACGGTTTTTTTGACGTTAAGGTTACAGAAAAACCACCTAAGAAAATGACGGAAAAAACTGTCGAGTGCAACATGTAGCGTGTGACAGTCACTTCGATGCCAATAAAAAAATAACCACTCAATATTTTGTAAGCAAACCAAATACATATTAAAGAAGAAAGAACAAGGAACACTATGAAAGTAACTGCATTAAAAAATTCCTTCAAGCTTCGTTACAATCGAATGTTAAGCAGGAAGTCAAAAAAGTCACTTCTATTGGTGTCGCGTGCGAAAGTATTGGTTTTTTATATATCTTAAAAACGAAAAAAAGGACCAAAGTCAGCACTAGCACAAATTTTAGTGCTAATCAAGACATTTAATTTGAGCGTAGTGCTAAAAGAAAAGAAGTCCTGGAAGATGGTTTTTTTCACCTGCAAGGCGTACGAACGTCGCGTGCGGCAGCAGAGAATTGCACATATGAATTTTCCCCCATAACTAAGTGAAACAAAGTTAACTAGTTTTAAACCTTCTTTAAACAAGTATTTTTACAGTTCCTCCTAGAGTGAAATGCTTCAAATTTAGAAGCAATTCCTCCCAGAGTAAAATGCTTCGAATTTAGAAGCAATTCACCAAATTAGCCGATAACATAATTGTTAGAGTTATTTTGATTAAAAACCAAAGCTTCAACAGTTTCCAAGATACGTGCAAACATCTGATTAAAGTAATAATTATTAAACGACCTTTAAATATAAAAAAACACAAACCGTTAACTACCTTCACCACTTTATATTTAGCGATGTACTGAGCTGACCCACCACAGCGTGGTATCTGGTGTGAAGAAGCTCATTCGATTTATCCGTTTGAAAGCCTTCTAGAAATTCGCGATAGATATCTTTTGTTAAAGCATTTTCGGGCTGGGAGCGTGGAAGCTTCTCGTAAATTTTCTCAAGTTTCTGGGTAAGTTCATGAACATGCTGCCCGGTAATAGGGCGTACCTGTGCACCTCCGTTTATACATCCTGAAGGACAAGCCATCACCTCTACAAAATGATAGTTTCCCTCTTTTCCTCGCTTAAGTTTTTGCACCAGGTTTTGAATGTTCCGGAAGCCGTTGGCAATAGCAAATTTTAAGACAGCCTTTCCATTCTTTTTAAGAATAATTTCCCGAAAGTCACGATTTCTAAGTTGTTTGAATTCCAATTCTTTTGGTGTGACCTCGTTGAAAAGCTCTCGAGCGGCGTACTTAAATATGTGTTCAGCGTAACCACCCGATAGCGTCGCCTCGTGGGCCCACACCATGGATTCTGGCCTTACTTCAGACCACGGCCAGTCCAGATCATCGGGGTTACATTGCGGCAATGTCCTCTTGTGCTCGGTCAACATCTCCTCCACCTCAACTGCAGAAGAGTTAAATCAATCTTATGTCCAATGTAATGTTTGCGTCGTTCTACCTGATGTGATTACACAGTCCACGTCTCGTGCGTTGTTCGCCTTGTTAAAGAAGTCTTCACGGGAGGCTTCAAGCTTCTTGTCATAGCAGGGCATCACTGTCACATGGTAAATGCGAGATCCAGGAATACTTAGCTTCTCAGCTAAGAGCTGCTTTACTAGTACTCCCATTATTTGCTGCGGCGAGCGGGTTGTAGAAAGGTAAGGCAGTATAAAGTTCCCATGAGTTTTCTCCGCGTAGCAAACCCAGCCCGGGCAGGACGAGCTAAGCATGGTCAACTCCTTATTTTCGTGGTACCGTTCCATAAATTCTTGTCGGCATTCGAGCAGCGCTAGATCGTCGGCCACTTTGGTGCACAAAACATAGTCGGCTCCCAAACTCCGAAAGTATCCGGTTAGATGGCGCGCAGCATCTTCTGCACCTATTTGATAGCGATGGGCTAAGCTCAGCAAAGGTTGGGTGGCCACAGTGAACACAATGGTAAGCACATTATCGAAGTCCCCAATGGTTTTTTTCTTGGAGTTCTCACCGAGGACCTTGAGCAGCTCCTCCTGGCTCTGCTGAGTGATTAGAACGCCTTCAGCGGAAGTGATGCACCCGGAACAGGCCAGACAGTCTTGAAGAGTGATTTCCACTTTTTTAAGTTTTTGATTTCCACTCTGCAGTAGGATTTGATTATCAAAGAATAGTTCTGAGTGCATAAGAGCTACCCACCTCATTTTCCTCAAGGCAGTTGTCTCCCTTTATGGTGATTTTGGCCCCAGTTCTTGACGTCGCCTTATCTATGGGCACGGTTGGCAAGGGTTTAATACATATCTATGGAGAATTGAAAAAAAATTTAAAGGATATATTGTATTTACACATATGCTGTATTGAACCTGCGAGGGTGTAATAAAGTCGTCTATATCGGTGAGCTGAAGGGCTCCACTGAACTTAGACATAGCCCTAGTAAGGAGTTTCGCTTTTTTAATCCAGTCAAATAAGTATTAAAACGTAAAATTTACTGGCTACTATTCAAGGTCTTTTAAGTTTTAAAGCCAATATATGTCAAAATAGCGACATATTATTAGCTATTAAAATGGGACGGCTAAAATTGGAAAATGGAAACATTGCTCGGCTTATTCATCAGATCAATTTTTTCTCGGCCTTTACAATTTTACGTAGCAATTAAAGCCTGGTACTCACATCGACGAAAATTTCTAGCTAAGCATAGCGGTACTCCAAAGAGCTAAGGAAATAATAGGAAACTACCAAAAAAATACCAGATTTTGCGGATGAGTTCCGTTGAACGCTTTCAGCGGCCCAAATAATAGAAAATTTGGTCTTTGGCTGCGTTGTGCAGGACCGATGTGCCAATAACAAATTTAAAATGGAAGAAAAAACCCAACAAAAAAAGGGCAGTATAAAACGGAATGAAAATTTTTATTTGGATTCGACACTGATACGCAGCTGATATAAAACGGGAAAAATAAAAACCATTTATTGTTGATATTGAAATTTGTACGGATTTCTATCACGTAGTGACGAAGCGCACAAGGAGCGTGTGCGAAGTAGGTATGTCGAAAATTATCAAAATATCAATATATCGATATTTTTACGAAAAAAAAATTATTTTTATCGTGATATTTTTTTGAATATTTATCATGTTTCATCGATTTTTTTCACATTTTTTTTGATAATTTTAAGTGGTCTGACTTTTCATCGGGACAAGAAAAAATACAAATGTGAAATATGAGCGCCGCTAAAATTTATTTTTCGGCAAGTAAAAATGCTTAGAATAGCATTCAGAATTAAAGAAAACGCGGTAAAAAAATGCGCGGGAAATACTTGATTTTAATATTATAAATAAAAGCAAAAATAAATATTGTTTTCTTTCATTTATTAATAAATATAAACAACAAATTATAAAAATATAATTTAAGATCGTATGTGGGTTAAAGTTTAGTGGTTATTGCTTAAGCAGCTTAAAATTAAAAAATAAAAATAATAAAACAAAAATATCAAAAATATTTGATAGATAGATATTTTTTTCTGATATATCAAATATCAATTTGATTTTTTGTTTTAATAAAAAATATCATCGATACGATATTTTTAAATATTTCGACATCCCTAGTGCGAAGGCGACTACTCTATATACACGAAAAAATTAAAATATGCTGTGATGGTCCGATCATAATGAGTGATACACACATCGAAACGTATCGCAAGAACTAACAATATTGCATACCAAGGCTTTAAGAAAATCAATTGGCTTGGGAGAGAGAGACGTGAAATTAAAAAAAGTGCAAATTTTGAAATTTGGAACTGTTGGGGCCGGTGGGGATAAATGCCCCCTCGCAATGTTTTAGTTGTTTTCCTATTGAAAATACCCGTCGAATGAGGGGTATATGATAAAATTCAAAGCTCCGTTCAAAAGTTAGTCAAAACATAATTTTCTTCTTTATAAAATGAAAATTTAATTCTGTTTGTCAGTTTGTCTGTCTGTCCCTAAACCTTGTTTTAAAGTTTGTACATTTTTTTATAGTGTTAAACAAATCCATATAAGAAACTTTAGTTTTTCCATTTTTGGAAAAACTCGCTAGTTTAGCGGGAAAACAGCTATAAATGGCGAAACTTCGGAAGGCCGTAACTTATGTACTACTAAAGGTACAGACTTGACTATAACTCCTATTTTAAATACTATAAATGCCTTCTGAGCGTAATTTGTCTAAATTCAACATTTTAAAAATTATGGCAAAACACAAATTCCCGCTGCTTTAGCGGGAAAAAAGCAAAAAATATCTAAATTTCGTAAGTTTTACACTACTAAAGCTACACCCATGTGCTATGCCTCGTTTAAAAGGTATTTTGAAATACTTCAACGCCTTTTTTCTTTAAATACAATTGAGATTGACCTATATAAATTTAAATTTAGCTCAGCTTAGCTAAAACACTTCTTAACGAGGTAAAAAACTAGTGACGATCGCACATTCAACATACAAAAGTTCTGATATCAACATTTGTGACGAAAAACTATTACACTCGTCATTAAATACACTTTCTAATATTTTCTCATTCGGCACGCTGCAATAGAAAATGCCTGCGAGGGGAAAAAGGCTGGAATAGTTTTCTAGGGTTCCTAAAACCACGATTTGATGCATACCTACAAACAAAGCGAAAAATTATTTCATTTTGGGAAGAAGAAGAAAATCTGGTTTTTGGTGTAACTTTTGAATGGAGCATCGATATGATATGATACGATATGACCCCTATTAAGCGCATTTTAAGTAAGAATACAACAAGCATGTTGCGAGGACCAGTTATCCCCACCAACCCCAACAGCTCCAATTTTCTAAATTTTCACTTTCACCGCCCTCTCTTACAAACCGATACTTGCGATACTTTTCGGTTGGTGTCTCACTCGTTATGTTCGGACCATCACAGCAGATTTTCAATTCTGGGGCTATATAATATAGTCGCGGTAATACTCTAGTTTACGGTCCTCACCCCCAAAACTCGCAAAATAATTATCCTCGGCGGACCGAGGTGACTCTGAATTCTTCCTCTTGACTGTGAAAAGTGGAACAATGACTATGAGAACAAATCAAATCGATGGCGGAATATATTAAAAAATGTTGTTTGTTGGCTTTCGTTGAAATATTTGTAGTTTGTTATGAGCGGAAAAGCATTCGCCACCAGGTTGCCATGTGTGGTCCAAAATTTAAGCTGTTCTGCGAACGAAAACATTGATGTTTTCATGAAAGTCTCGGAATATTTTCTGCCTTCATAAATAATAACTAATATTAAATAATAGCCTCTTCCCATAGAGTCCATCCGTTTAAAACTGTTGGGATTTTTGACGAATGTGAAACTCGTGTTCCCACAGAACTACATCCAGCACCCACCCATCTAATAACAGCTGACTAAAAAGCAGTTGCTCAACTCAACATTTATTTATTGCGATCTCGTAATTTTATTGTAGAATAATACAATAAATAGATTAAGAAAATAGTTTAAAAACATATCTGAACGTTTATAACATATCCTACTACGGGTATGCATACATATTGCTGACTGGGGGGAGCCTAACCTCCTGTACCCCACACTCCGCTCTTACTACGTCTCTAACTAGCTAATATTAATATGAAAAATTTTTAAAGAAACCCAAATTTATTCTGTTTTTGGTAAATTATAGCAACTTTGGAACTATATAGGAGTGCAAAGTACACTTTTAATTAATATTAGTTATATTTACGAAGTGCAGAAAATATTTTGACACTTTGCTGCAAACATTGATGTTTTCATACGCATAACAGCTTACATTTCGGCCCACTCATAACAACCTGCTTGCGAACAATTTTCCGCTCATAACAAGCTACAAATAATTCCAAAAAACCGAAAAAACAATGAGCTGAAGCAATTTTTAATTTTTTCCCCCCATAGATTTGATGTGTTCTCGCAGTCATCGTTCTAATTTTCACAGTCAAGAGGAAGAATTCAGAGTTGCACCGAGAAAACATCGCCTAACTATCGCATAAAAGAACCCGACAAAGTACATCAAAATTGGATTTCGGACTAACTGGGAAATTTTTGGAACTTCAAAACCTTACGGACCATCCGTTCAAAGGATGGTAGATAGTGGATGGAGCTCTGTGGGAATAGCCTATTCACATTAGTCAACATCTACCGATTACCGATTCAGACGGTCATACAAATTTGACAGGCTAAGCGGTTGAAAATTATGTACGTCAAAATAGCGTCGACCAGTTAGCAACGAAAGTGGAACGGTGGACTTTGGAACACTGGGGGCATTTTTATTTTTTTAATTTTCTCGCTATTTGGCGGCCGAATTGAAAAATGTTTGATGCAAAATTGTTTAGAATTAAAATATCTATCGATCTATATAGGTTGGGGCCAAGTCCGAGGCCTGAAAGTGTTTCAAAAATGCATTTGAAAAATCGGGTATCCACCATTTGGTTCACTGCTCCCCTCACAGAGGTTGTTCCAATATGCACGCTAAACCTGGTTATTAAGCGTTAATTCAAGCTTATTGTCTAAAAGTTTCATTAAAATCAAACCCACAGATTTTGAGTGAAACGCCTAACAGTGAACCAACCTCGGATTTTTCCCATACAAAAGAGGGGGCCAAAAATTAATTTGTCTGGGGCTTCACTCATAGAGGTTGTGCCAACATGCACTGGGCAGATTGGGGATCCTCCTAAGAACGTTTTTGTGAAAATTTCATGAAAATTAAACCCACAGTTTTCGAGAAAATTTATTTACAGTGTGCGGGTTAAATGGTCAAATAATGAAATTGGCCGCTTTTCGCTGACAGCGCCAGCGAGACCACCTTACAGCCATGACATCAACTATGTAAATATCCACACATTTTCTATGCAAACTTTAAGTAATTAATACAGCTGTCACAGAGGTTGTGCCAACTTGCACTGTATATCAGTAGAAGGGGCATCATTATAAGTAATTTCTTTCTTAATTTCAGCGAAATCAAACCCACAGATTTCGAGAAATTCAAGTAATTCAAACTAGGGTTTTCACACTATCCAACCAGGTTTAGCGTGCATATTGGCACAACCTCTGTGAGGGGAGCAGTGAACCAAATGGTGGATACCCGATTTTTCAAATGCATTTTTGAAACACTTTCAGGCCTCGGACTTGGCCCCAACCTATATAGATCGATAGATATTTTAATTCTAAACAATTTTGCATCAAACATTTTTCAATTCGGCCGCCAAATAGCGAGAAAATTAAAAAAATAAAAATGCCCCCAGTGTTCCAAAGTCTACCGTTCCACTTTCGTTGCTAACTGGTCGACGCTATTTTGACGTACATTTGAAAATTTTCCACCGTCAACCCTTTTGATATTCCTATCCCATCTGTTTCACGTAGTTTATTTAGTATATTTTTGTGTCAACCAAAATAAAATTTGAAAATAAAAATTTCAAGCGGTGGAGCAGGTAAATTTTATTAAGTCGTTTTAAAACACTTAAGAGATTTTTCGCACTGTGGGGAGTAGTTAACACCCAAACTCCCCTGCCTACCCCCTATGACCAGAACAGAAGTGCGAGCAATGTT